TAAAGCTCAGAAGAAATTTGGCATACTTGTTACAAATATGTTCTTCTTTTCATTCGTTAAACAACAATCGATTCCACGATCCAAACAAAAAAAATAACAAGCATGATCATCAATTGTGCATGTAAATATGACACCCCAAAGCTGAAATGAACCACGAACCACTTACCGAAAAGCTTAGGTCAAGCAAAATACGTTTGCTTCTGTTCCCAAAGTCTTTGGTGGCCCACTGCTTGGTGTATAGCACACTCGGTATTCTAACATAATCACTAGAAACCCGCGATTTATGGTGCACCACTTCAAAGCAATCCCTCTGGTTGGCTTCCATGTGGTCACATTTTATCAACACAATACCAAGGCTATGAAGTGAAGCAACAACATGACACCAAGTATACACATAAACATATTAGAGTTTATAATTAAAACCAAAAATTTACAAAAGGCATGCACAAAACAGACTTTTCACTCAATTACACGTTTTTTAATTACCTAAGTGGATCCTTCAGGTCCTTCCAGCGCATTACAAACTGCAGCAGACGTGCCTCAACCGTTGTATGGCGTCGGGTGTTTGACACATTGGTGAACATGGCTGACAAGGCTGCCTCTGTAGGTTTCACCACCCTCTTATTCACAGTTCCGTCCCCCTTCCCAATAGACTCATCTTCCTCATTAGGTGAAGATGAATTTGCCAAATTGCATTGAGCATCAACCAACATTGTAGCTCCCCTCGTCCCAACCAAGCCCACAACTATTTCAGGTCCAGGCTCCATGTTCTCATCTTCCGCTTCAGGATCAGAATAGCAGCCATGGAACTCTGAGACAACACCTTCATCAACCCCATCCACCTTGGATTCATCCCCAACCACCTTGACCTCACCCCAGCCTCTGCAAATAGTGGATCAACCGAAATCTTTTGAACCACACGGTCCAGGTCATCTTCACCTGAAACTGTATCAGCAGAAGGATCTTCCCTACCAAGTCCTTTCCCACCTTCTTTCAGTTGTTCCTTCTCCAACAAAAAACTGCCCAAAGCTTGATCTACACCATTCACAGCATCATGTTTTTCACCAAACAAGTTCTCATGCACAACAACTTCCTTCTCCATTGGCTTACCCCTCTCCATTAGCTTCTCCCTAATCACTCTCTGGGCATTAGCTACGTCAACACACTGTGACATCAACTGATGCATTGATTCCATAACATCACTTAATTTCAAGTCTATCACAAACATCAACTTTGGAGTAATTCTATCCAGCACCTTTAGGAAAACAAAAATACAAACTATTAAAATTTGTCGTAGGACATATCACTTATTTTATAAAATACAAAGCTACATCTAAAAGTATCATTGATTTGCATTATACCTGCTGCGTAATATTTTCCACGTCTACCTCCTGCGTAGTCTGTTGCACGTTGACTCTTTCCACCCTTTGCTTTGCAACCTCCCGAGGAGTCAACGGATGCTCCTCCCCATATGCTATATCCAGATACTGCAAAAGAATCAAACACGACAGCTTCAGCAGTATTCACATCAAATGAAAGTCAAACTAATACTAACCGGCAATTTTCCAAAATCCCCATATTCTTTTTTATCATCGCCAACTGCCTCATTGATCTTTTCTTCGGTCCATGCCTCAAGTCTCGGCCTCACACCCCACCTCATTGGGACGCGACTGAGGTGATCTAGATAAAATATCTACAGGTAATGCACAGAATGGATGATTTAGTTCAACTAACCATTACAAACGATAACACTTCAAAATTTAATAAAACTACTGAAACAGCATTTGGTGTACGGTGGCAAATCCCCAATTTTACTCACCAACAAATACAGGATACAACCCCCAAAACCTGCAACATATCCATCACGAGCAAATTTTCTTTTGGAACCTCCTGGCTGCTACAACCATCCAGTTAAATACATAAGTGCACCAATCATACTCATCAGCTTCATCGTACACCAATAATGACGGTACAAGCTTCATCCCAAGATAGCTAGTATTTGTTGTAGCACACAATACGTATCCCAGAGCTGCTATAAGAAAGGCTATCTTGAAATCAGCCTTCTCGACATCCGACAGCGGCAACACATTGCCTTCCTCATCCATTCGAATCAGTGCCCCCAAGGCAGAAACTAATGAAATGCTATCATTTTTCCCAAACTTTTCCAAAATTCTACTATGCTCATCCTGCTTATCCTCAGGAATCGTACACGGCAATGCCTTCGACCCCATGGGAATCCCAAGTACGTACTAGACCTGAACAGGACTCAAAGGAAGCACACACTCATCTCCAAAAGTTATCGACCCATCACCCATCACCCTTGTCAATAGCCAGTACACAAACTTCCGGGGTAAAAAGGAAAGGGGTATACTTAACAACCCTTCAAACCCCATTTCTGTGACCAGCTTCTTCCTAGAGTCATCAAACTTCTTCACTGCAGTTGCAAAAGCCTTCACATCATGCAAATTTGGGGCCTACAACATTACATTCAAAGGACATAAACTTCTATCAATTCACATCGGAGACAACAAAAAATAATTAAGCTGACAAAATAACACCATGAACCGATTGTTCATGCCTTTATTTGTTCATTAACTAAAAAAACTAGCTAAACAAACACTACCGGTACATTCCCACTACACTTACTTGTCAATGTTTTATGAGGTATTTTAATCTTTCACAACCAATTAAGGACTCACAATATTATTACCAAACTTATAACTCAACTAGAATTAACAATTAATCTATTTTATAAAACTGTCCTCATCTTCACATGCATATTTATTCACTACATTTTCCCACCTACCTAAACAAAGGACCAACCACATACAAGCATTTCCATATCAAAAATTTTGGCGACATAAAAGGTTGAGACAGTACCTTTTGCGTATTTCTTGATTGGGTTTTAACAACAACCTCTTTCTCCTTCACCTCTTCTCCCTTCGTCTTGTCAACCTACACAAAACATTATACATGTAATTTATCCATCCCCACATTACTCAGTCAAAAACCTTTTATCAATATCAACTAACATGCAATACCTTTTGCTTGCCCCTCTTTGCTCTCTGCTTCTGATCAACAATACCTCGCTTGCGCTTCCCTTTTTCAACTTTTTCTTGCAATAACCTGATCAGGAAATCCTGGTAACCATCTTTGTTAGGTTCGGTTTCTTCATCACTAGCTTCACCCTCCTCCACATCCTCCTCAGAATCACCATCTTCAGAACCACCATCATCAGAACCAGATTCTTCAGCACCAGAATCATCAGAAACAAAATCCTCAGAATCCTGTAATTCCTCTTCCTCAAAAATAGGATCAGGTTTCACTTTCTTTACAGCTTTCTATTTGGGCGCCTCATTCACCCGACTCATTACGGGGTATACACACATACAAATATTTTACAACATAAATCAACTACACCACACAACCATCACTAACCAAACATACAAACTTTGTATTTCAACCAACAATAACTCACCAATTCTGATCCCTTCTTCATCCTCGCCATTATTTCCCCCTGCCAATTTTAAATTAACCCTACATAAGTAAGTGACATTTTCCAACTGCATACAACCATTTCAACCAACCCTTCACTATTCACATATACAATTTTCACTACTAAAATACACTTTTTATTCACAAACCCACTCACATTACCAACAATTACACTTTCATAATCAATACTACTACCAAAATAGCGAAATCAATTTCACTTATTCAAAACAACTACAGTTTTTGAAAACACTTCCAATCAAATTCATTCCAATTAAATATCATCATCATCAACAAAGGAAGTCCTAATTTGCTAATTACAATTAAATAACAAAGGGTCGCAAATTTCAGTGGCTAACAAGGCATTACATAATCTAAATCATCATAACAACAAATTTTTTCCAATTACGGGTTTCACAACCTCATATTAATTCCAATAATAAACATGAAAAGCAAAGGAAACCCTAATTCTCTAATTTCACTGGATAACCGTAAATCACATACACTAAAACACCATAACAACAAATTCATTCCAAATAAGGGTTTTAGTACCACGCCCACAAAAATGTTTCCCAGTTAAACAAATGAACAACACAGGAAACCCTAAATCGCTAACTTCACTGGAAAACCCTAGATTACATAAACTAAAACTTCATAACAACAAAAAAACAACACAAATACAACATTTACACATAAAGTCATAATTCAAGAAGTGTTTTGCACCCATACCTTCAAACAACCGACAAAGCTAGTAGCAGCTACTTACAATTAAAGCACCAACTACACCACAGTAAACTTCTGCTCTTGCTCTGGCGATAACCACCGTCCTAGCGTCTTCGTTGCAACAGAGTACAGTACCTTCCAGGAGGAGATAACACAACAGAACGAGGAGAGAGAATGAAATTGTTTGTCGAAAAATAACCTTTTCAAATTAAAAAATTGGAGCCACCGTTACAAACCCAAAAATAACGGGATCTCAAAAGTCAGCATATTCCACTTTTTAATTCTAAGGCCTGGTAAATTACGCATCTGCCCTCCTATACACTTTTTAAGCACATAGGTGTTACGCGCTGATATGTACTTGTGCAAGCCTTTGTGCTACGATTAAGATACCGTGTTACTAGTATCCGATCAATTTCTCACACGGTAACTTAATCGTAGTACAAAGGCTTGCACAACTATAGAGAGTGTGACACCTTGACTTTGATAGTTAGGTGGCACGAGCTGTGAAGCAATGCTTGTTAAAAAATTGGTGGATCAATGATTTAAAAGTAAGTGTGCTTATTAAAGTGAAACGGGTGATCAAAATGAAAGTCCAAAGGTTGTTATATGCACCAAGTGCACAGTACACCCAATGTACCTTTTTTTTTTCTTCTTATTTTGATGGTTAAAATAAAGGGTGGTTATTGTTCACTTAATCAACAAATGAGTAAAAAATAATCTTAGTGTATCTAATATCCGGATATATATAAAAAATTATTTATAGAAAATCAAATTAGCATGGAAAATTTTCCAAAATTCTTCGAATGAAGTTCTTCACATCAAATTGATTATTTGCTACGCTAATAAATTTGGTTGTGTTACTTTAAACAGTCTGTAGAAAGAATTAAGGGGTAAATTTTTGCTTCTACCTCCAAAATATAGCACAGTCAAATTTTACAAGAGCATACCACCATGGACTAATGCTAAATTGGTGGATAAGCCATAAACAGTATAAATAATTAGTTAGTGACCTATTTGCACAAGAGAGAATACAATGACCCGCTGAGAAGAGCAGCTTGTGAAAAAATTTGAGCTCAAACCAATATGCATAGCTCTGCATCTTATACAACTGACACAAGCATGTATATGATCAAACTGCATTACATGTCTCGTCGGAGGTTCTCCAAAATCACGCATTATGCTTCCTGTACAGGGAAGCTGCATCTCTGAGGGGTGGGACAACCCGTAAATGCAAAACTTAGTTCAACAAAATTCAACCTAATTGAAGTAATCTTGCCGGATGATTGAGATACAGTTAGAAGGTGGATCATCTTCATCCCTTTGCTTCCAGAGCTCTCCATTACTTTGCAGATGCCATGATACTTTTGGAGAGAGTGGTGTATATAAATCTGATACAGTAAAAATTAAGATGTGAAGTAATGACGATAAGGAAGTGAAGGGAAGATTAATCCTAGCATTACTAGAATATCAAGAAACGTTAAACAGATAACTGATATAAGGACCAAATCTACTGAGTCAAATTGTGTCAAAGAAATTCATCAGTCACTAGATCAAGTTTGTTATTCTACCTTGCAAAAAGCCTAAATTGTGTTAAACATTTCTTTTTTTTTTTTTTTTTTTTTGACGAATGTGTTTGACACTTCTACTGTACAAAAATAATATATTCTTCAAGTTCATGGAGTCTAGGGATGACAAAAGCCTTGTTGTTTTCATAAAAGAGCTATATATCAGCACAAGAGAAATGTAACAGGGGTAGGGTCAAATAAATCAAAAAGGTGTACCCAATTATATTTAATTCTTTAGAGTAGGAAACTGACAACTAATTACATCAACCTATGCATATATAAATTGAGTTTAAAGTTTTCTATTCAGTTTTGGGTAAGAGGAAAATTCCGTGACTACTGACTACATCATCTCATCAGTTAAAAGCCAAGGCCATGGACAGATTGAGCACCAAAAGGAAAAGAGAGAAACTAACAAGTTAGACAAAAGGCAGATAAGAAAATAGACTCCCCAAGTCAAGCTCAAATGACTCCCATGTTTTTTTTCTTATGAAACATGGATACCCATATATAACTGTATGCATAATTTGAGTGTAGTTCCTCTCTTTCATTCATGGATATCTTATGTACCACTTTAACACGGTATTAAAGAGCCTCAAACATAAAAGAAGATAAGAAATTTTACAATTAACTATTCAGCTCATCCTGTAATAGTCAAAAACTGGACTTTGAAGGTATACATATTCACAAATTTGATATCACCCAATCAAAGCAACTAGCTAGAGTGTAGTAGCCAGATTTTGAGCATATTATTCTAAGAAAAAATACACCCCTTCCCAACACTATTGAACATATATGCATCACACGACTCACTAAGGCTCTGTTTGGTTTGACGAAAAACATTTTTAATGAAAAATGATTTTTCATGGAATACATTTTTTCAAGGAACATTTGCAAATTAGTTTTCCTTTGTTTATTTCCTTACTGGAAAAGTTATACACGAATTGAAAATCTGGCTTTTAGGGATAAACGTTAAACTAATTGTTTGACATATTGCTTTTAGGGACAATGCAAATGCTATTTGAATTAGAGAGAATTGAACAACAAGAGACAACATATGACTAGTTATCATAGATGAGGTATTGACAGTACAGGGCTTCTATTTTGGGAGTTGAGAGTGAGTTACGAGGAAAAAGGAGGGAGAAGGGGGGGGGGGGAGTCAAGTGAGGTGGTTAATTCTAATAATTTGTTCAATTCAGCAGAATCCAATATATAGTATTGCTGGTCATAAAGGTAGTTTCCTACAAAAATAAATAAATAAAAGCTACATAGTAGTTTCTTACTAAAAGGTACAATCTGACATGAAATTTTTGTCTTTATTTTATTAGGGGAAGAAACTCAGGAGTTTTCTTACATGTATCTTATTAACAACTTAGAATTATAACAATTAACATAAACTAATGTGTCAAATTTATGTTAATTATTAAATGGATTCTCTGGAAAAATAATTAGCTACTGAGACAGAGACACTAAAATTAGAGTTAACTAGCCCTGGTCCATTGTAAAACTCATTTGACTTTCATATAAGCTTAATGATAGAGATGTGACTCATTCAATAGTCATGGAAGAACACTTCAAAACATACTACATGTACTATTCCAAGGCAAAGATACACCGAAGAATCATTTAATCGAAAATTTCTGAAATAAATAACTTATGTTTCAGTAACAAAGAACCCTTAGCTTCACAATTTAACCCAGAACAGGTCAGCAATTGAATATTCTGGTGTGACCAACAAAATATGATTGGCAGAACTATAATTCTGATCAATAATTAATGTTATTGAACAACTTGCCCATTTTCTCAAAACAAATTACCCATTACACTTAAAGTAAAGTGGGCACAGAAAACTGAGAGCACATTGACATCAAGTTCATAACTAAATAGCTATTACGTACTTCAGTAGATTTGATATACTTTTGAAATATATACTGTTAGCACTACTGTTTCTGTACCACTTTTCATATAAAACAAGACTCGGGTGCACAGAAGTCTTCTGAGTTTATAAATATCGGATGTCAATGGTTTTATAGTAACATACTTTCTCAACAATATCATAAGGATCCAGTTCCAAGACAAAATGCCTTATTATAAGCTTTCATGTACTCTATAGCTGAAATACCTTTATTCCTTCTAAATTGATAAGTAGCATTGAAATAATATATAAACATTTTGTTTCTTAAACTTCAATTGGTTATCATACAAGTCAACATCAAATAAAAACAGAAAACACATACCTGTAATGAACGGCTGATCAGGCTCTCTTGTACTATGTAAGATTGTAGTTCCTGATAGCACAGTGATAAATCCACAAAGCTCGGATGCAATGCTGCTTATACTTTGACCATAATAATCCTATAGATCGGAGCCAAATTAAGAATGACACGATATAATCGATGCATCTTTGAACAAGCAAGTCTGCATGTATTAAATGCAGGCTAATGAAAGTACAAAGGGCATACCTGGAACATAATTGCACTAGCAAGAATCGTAAATGATGTGAACAGTGCATAATAGATAGGAGAGACCACTGCCGTATTGAATGTATCAAGTGCCTGTAATCATTTCCAATGCAAAATCAGATTAACAATGAAAAGGTATTGGCTGTCCGAAGTGTGCCAGGTTCTAAAATGAATTAGTGACATTTGAATGAAACAACAATCATAGTATATGGCTGTTATACATCTTATTGTAGTAAACATGGGCTTTGAGGATATCTTCAAAAACTCAACTAAATCTACAAAAAAAATCCAAAGTTCAAGCTTAAGCCCTAAATAATTTCAAGATAGAAGTGGATCTGCAGAGCACGAACATGTTTGATGTTTCTAGTAATCTACACTAGCAGGAATTCAGTATGGAAAAACATAACTGAATTCATCAAAAGAATTTACAAGATCAAGCTCGTAATATATGATACATGAAGTATCATTTCCCCATTATTTAAAAAAAAATAAAAAAGCATCCTTTTGCAGCCGCTCACAACTCAGCATCAATATCAACAGGTTCAACACTGCGACTCCATGTAAATATGGGATAGATGGAATTTTCAAGTACATGGTTATGGATAAATACAGCATGAGAGAGATATGTAGTGGGGGCCGTTGGGGAGGGGGGAAGGAGTGAACTCAGAAAAAACTCGGTGGTGGGCAAATTTTCGCTTGAACACACAGATTTCCTATAGGGAAGTCCTTGGCTCCACACACATTCTAGATTTCTAAGCAAGACTTACATCATCACTTTCTAAATAATCATTTTGGGAAGGGGGTTCTCTAGCACAAAGCCACAAAGTATCAGTTATCTTTCGATTTCACCCAAGGGTCAAGGGGAAGGGAGGATGCAGAGAATCCAATAAGATGCAACTAAATTGGGTTAAATTAAGGGATGACTAAAATGCCAATTTCAAAGGAAGAAGGTATTGAAAAGGGGGGAAGAAATTCAGAATCCTTTGCCAGAAGGCATACGGCTGCAGTGTTAGGCACTGCCCCATCCCCATTTTTCCTTTGAACGGTGTATCAAGTTCAGGGTGAGGGATAGAGCTCTTTGTAACGATATAGGGGAACTTTAATTGCATTCAAATTGTGTCTAATACCGCATAAATTCAAACAATGGCTCTCCTTTTCTCGGGGGAGGCCAGGTGCTCATAGAAACTAAATAACTAAATAGGAAGATGCATCATAAAGTTTTCTACTGATTTTGAAGGAATGCCTACCATGTTGAGATAATTTAATTGTATAATGATACACGTAACTGAAACCATCGCAAAAATCCATGCATGTAAGTATTTGAATTGGTTAGCCCCATCCAAAGTAAGTTTTATTGCAATACCAATGGCCTTCACACTCATTACCTGCAAAGTACATGACATAATATGAGCTGAAGAACTTAGATATTGTGAAATAGATGTAACATACGAACACCAAAGTCACACACTACAAAGCAATATACTTACTGTCAGAGATCCAATAATCGAACATATGCCTATAAAAATCAATATATTGGTTTGACCATATCGAGGAGCACAATACATGATCAGTACCAATGCTACGGCTACAACTGATGCCGTATATAACAAAAATGCTGTGTGGACAATCATAAGTAAAAATTATTCATGAAGCTCTAAAGATCATAAATGTAGATGTTTGAAGCATATGAACAGACCTGGTTGAATAGCTAATGCCCATATCTCATCAACAGAATCCATTGAACGTTCCCCTGGTGCATGAAGCACAATGACAACAGAGCCTACTATGCAGAGAAGACACCCAAGCATCCCCATCTTCTGCAGTTTTTCGTCCAATATACAATGGGCTAACACCGCACTGAACCAATTCCCAAAATCAGTTGCAATAGTTCAAACACAATTGTATTGTAATGGATAGAAAAACAGATGAATTACCAACACATTCAGCTTAAACTTACCTAACAATTATACTCAATGCACCAAGTGGTGTCACCAGCACAGCGGGTGCATAAATGTAAGCAATAAAATTAGCAATTTCTCCAACAATCACTGCCCAAATATAAAACCCCAAAATGCAGAAATGAGTACATTAAAACTTGGAAAACAAAACACAAAGCTATCTGCAGATTGGTTATTTCTCCAACAATCACTAATTTTCCCCAAAGAGCACTCCTACACACAAAATTGATTGAATTTGGTTTGTGGAAACAGACACAATAATTACCATAGCATTATAATTAAATTACAACAAATTGAACAGCATAACCAAATGATTATTTAGTTTTTTAAACATAGGAACTAAAAGTGGTTGCTTGCAATTTGAGGTTGCAAAAAACTCTAGGAACTTAAACTCAACACCAACAAAATTATTAAATGCACATTATCGAACAACATAGCAATCAATTCCATTCCATAATCAATGACAGGATACCATTGTACTATCTATGCCTACAAACAGAAATGCACTCAAACCAATCCAATCCATACAATAAAGAACACAAAATTTGTAGCTTGTGTTCAACAATGCCATCATAACACCTCTAGAATGACATTTTTAAATTCAACAGCACAAAATGAAATTCGACAAATTAACAACATTGAACAACAAATATATAAAGGAAGAGTGGCTTACTAGTGCCCATTCCAACCCACCAAAGGGGCTCCATCAAGTAGCCATACCCACCATTACCTAAAACATCAAACAAAACACATTTAACACACATTTTAGGCATAATTAGGTAAAATACTGAAAAGGGTTTTCATCAAATTGACCAATTTAATCACATAGAAGAGAAAATCACCAGCCCGAGGGCCCGCGACACCGGCCCGCTTAAGACCCTTTTTCTTGATGATGAAACTAGACCCAATGAAGGCACTTGACACACATGCCAGTATCACCCCCTTCAAATTACTGCTATACATTGCTCCCCAAAACAGCAACAATCACAATAACAATCAAAACAACAACGATTTTGATTTACCATGTATCATGATCCTCTAAAATACACAAACCCCAGATTAAATTTCAGCTTCTTTTCTAATAATTCAATCCCACACCCTAAGCAACCCCAAATTTCAAAAAAAAAAAAAAAAAAAAAAAAAACAATTTCTTGGGATGTTGGGGATTTGGATCGAATTCTTACAAACCCAGCTCAAAATTTGAGAGAAAATCTGAATGATTAACTTCTTTACAAGAAACAAAAATGGAAATTAGATGACCAGAAGTTACAGAAGCTAATTCTTCTTTGAATTTTTGTAATTGGGTTGTTCTTCCTCTTAATTATTTTTTTCTGCAAAGATTGCGATCTCCTTTTACTTTTCTTTGATCACATAAAAATGAGAGGCAGAAAAAGAAATTAAATCAAACAAAAACGACGTATTTTTGTCGATAAAAATAATTAAAAATTCTCATCCCACCTACCCGTCTATTTGCCATTTGAGCCATCAATACGTTCAAATTCTGACATGGGGGCCATCATTTGGAGAATGCTAGAATTGCTAGTTTAACTAAAAAAAAGTGTCAATTTTTATCAAAAAAACTAAAAAAAAAAAAAAAGAAAGGAAAAGTGTCAATTTTTTATAGGGGTGGAAATTAAATGACTATTTTTTCAGATACTACGTATATAAAACAAGGATGCTTGTGTTCAAGCAAAAATGGAATTCACATAAAATAAAGGCATATGCTTGATTTTTGGGGAGGTGATAGACAGCTACCTAGGATTGGGCTCATTGTCCCCGAGATAGTAAAGTCATTTCCGCCCTTAAATGAAATACTCCCTCCGTTTTTACATAAATACCTCATTTTGACTTTGGCACTATTCGAGCGATAAATAAACCAGTATATGTGGGGCTAACATACACTTCCAATGGGTAGCTGCCACCTCACTGTAAGCCAAAAAAAAAAGAGGGAAAATTGAGGGGGAAAATTAATTGGGTTTAGGCGCTTAAATGCAAGGTTAAGCAGAAGAAAAAGCTTATGCGCCAAACTGCATTTGATGCATACTAATCCCACTATTGTGTTACTAAACAATTATATTATGATACTAATAAACAAAATTTGTTACTAGAAAAAATAATAACCTAGTCAGAGTCATTAAAAGAGAGAGGTTTTTTTAAAAAAAATTAAATTATATATCATTTGGTAATGTTTCTTAAATTAAAAATAAAAAATTATTATAAAAACGCCAATGAAATTTTTTTTAATGCTCTTTTCAAAGACATCCATATCGATATAATTTCAAAAATAGTTGGACAATTTTAACATTACTATAGTTTTGTAATCTACCTTTATTTTTTACTCCGATACCAATGAACATTGTTTTGTTATCAAAAATGAATATAAATTTAAAATAAAGCATCGGAATATAAAAGTAACATGCCAAGGGTTACAATAAGTGGATTGCTAAACATCGCCCGCAAATCTCCACATAAAGCCCACAAATCTATATTGAATTTACCTTATTGCCCTAAACCTAAAATAAAAAAATCTAACCCATACCCACACTCTAATCACCCGAAAATACGGCAATGTTGAGGCGGCAAGGCAAGGACTTGGCGGCCACAGCGGCGGAGGGAAGGACGGCTCACGGTGGCAGAGTTTTTTTTAAAAAAATTTTTTTAAAAAAAACCAGAAGAGGTGGGGCGCCTGGCCAGGACGCCCAGCCCCTGGTGGTGGCGTCTGCTCCGGCCGCCGGAACCAGGGGGCTGGCGTCTGACCTGGACGCCTAGCCACGGTTGTGGCGTTTTCCAGAGGCGCCACCGCCGTGGCTGGGCGTCCAGGTCAGACGCCAGCCCCCTGGTCCCGGCGGCCGGAGCAGACGCCACCACCAGGGGCTGGGCGTCCTGGCCAGGCGCCCTACCACTTTTTTTTTTTTTGTCTAATATTATTTTTTTTGGAAAATCAGAATTCTTTTGTTAATGTTTAATATTTTTGTTTTATGTGTTAATGTTTTTATTTCTAATGTATATATTTTTTTTTAAATCAGAATTTTTTGTGTTAATGTTTAATTAAAAAAAACAAAAACTTTAAATAAAATTTAAAAAAAATTACAAAAAGTTTAAATAAAATTACAAAAAAAAAGAAATAAAAAATAACAAATTACAAAAAAAAAAAATTACAAAAAGTAGGGGTGGCGTCTGGCCAGGACGCCACAGCCATGGTGGCGGCGTCTGGCCAGGACGCCACAGCCATGGTGGCGGCGTCCTGACCAGACGCCACCCCTACTTTTCGTAATTTTTCCCCCGCATTATCTCGCTTTCCGGCGACGATGACGGCTCTTCGGTGTCCCTCGGCGATCCACTCTAGCTCCACATTCTTCGTGAGAGTGAATTACGGTTTCGGTAAAAATTAGAAAAAGGGCAAAAGAGTCAAAGTAAAAAATATTTGTGGGCTTTATGTGGAGATTTGCGGGCGACGTTTAACAAATCCCTACAATAAAATATTGGATTGATGGTTTGATACAATAAAATATTGTAGGGATATAATTAAACATCTAGTCCGAAGGTTACTGATGTGGTTTTACTCGCCTTTATGTTTAATTAAATTGATAAGAGGATTTATAAATAATCTTCATTTTATTATTACTATTTTTTTTTTAATTTACATTTTGTTAGCATTACTAGTATGATCTCATTCCTTAATATTAATATTAGATAATTGATTAATACGTAGTATTAGGCACTTAAATCAATCTTGTGATTAATATACAAATATTGACTCTTAAATTATTGTTGTAATATACAAATACTGACTCTCAAATCTATATTTACAAGTTAAGGAGTAACTCTTGAAATAGTATTTCTTGCTTTAACCACGCAAAACTTACATTGGACGATTGAAAACACGTAGTGAAGGGGTACAATCAAACAGTGGAGTGTTAAAATCAATAACATTTGTAATTCAAAAAATAGTTATCAATAACTAATAAATATACCATTTTGACAAAAAAAAATTAATCTAATACAAATGAAGTAAAAGTTTTATAACATCTTTTAAAAAAAAAATGTTTGAATATTTCTTTACTTCTTACAAGAAGATTTCTAAGTAATCTTCAGTAACATAGTAATGACTATTAAAAGTAATGACTATTAAATGGAATACACAAATTGAAGTGCTAAAATTAAGTTGTGAAGGGTTAAAATCAAATAGTAGAGGGTTAAAAATAAAATCAACTAAATCCAAAAAATAGTTAGCTGTTACTAATATATATACCCTTTTTTTCAAAAATATAAACTTATACAAATGAATTAAAAACTTTATAACATCTTTAAAAATAAACAATAAAAACATGTCGACCAATACAATGTATAATTTATGGCAGTTGGTGGAAAAAAACAAACCAAACTTCTATTTATAATTTATTTGACAGTAGAAGTTACAAATGCATATAGCCTCAATATCAATTTATATGTTATCGTTACTAGAAAATATTCTATCTAATATCATATGTGAAAGCATCACAAAAGGTGAAAATTTACTAGCATTTACATAACAACCAGCAGTCTCAATGTCCCTATATATATACCATACATTATTGATAAGAGCATTGGTCATTAAGAATGAAGAGTCGCGATCATGAAGGAAAAGATTCTAAACCGGATGGGAATAACATCAACTGTTATTTGCAAATTATAATTTAGGTTTTAAATACTATTTAAATATAAACTGTTACAAAAGTAATCTCAAACCTACAGTTGTTTTATCGTTTTTTGTTATTCATATATATAGTACTTAAATATAATAGCAATACACGCGTTTTCATTGCTGCAATTGTAACCAAGATTACAGGATATTCACCATGTTAACAAATCTATAGTTTTAATTGTTGTTATTTGCAAACTATAATAGAGGTTCAGAATATTGTTGCAATAAATATTGTTACTAAATAAAGTGCAAACCTACAGTCACTTGAACCTGTTTTGTTACTCAAATACTTGATTTAAATCAAATAGTTAAATTGGAGGGATTAAATGAATTAGTGAAGGGTTAAAATCAAATAATGGATGGTTAAAATAAAGGAAAAATATACTTTAATAATCCCAACTATGGGCGATTTACTTTTAATAATCCCAACTAAGATTTATTATCTAATAATCGCAACTATGTTATCAATTTGCCTCCAATGATCCTAACCGCTAACACCAAATCAACGACCTGTAATAATAAGTAAGCATGACACGTGTCAACACATGATTGTTCCACAATAAAAAAAAATTTAAAAACTAAAACACAAAAAATAAAAAAATAAAAAATAAAAAAATAAAAAAATAAAAAATAAAAAAACCAGCCACCTATCCCATTGTCAAACCCTATCCCCACCCCTAACCACAACGGAAACCGCCCGGCCATCCCTCTAACCCACCGAAACTGACCGGCCGAATCTGTACACCCCCTTTGACCTACCCCCGACCCCCAAAACCACCTACAATCACTGCGCGCACCACCACTAGTTATACCTTCGTAGCAGAGAGACGACGACTGCTGACGGATCTTGTGGATTTTTTTTTAATTTTTATATATTTATTATTTTTTTTAATTTTGGACCAATCACGTGTTGACACTTGGAAATTAAAACCAAAGAAAAAAAAAATCTTTCAGCAGGTTACTGGTCATTGGGACCATTGGAGAAACTAATAGCATAGTTGGGATTATTAGATAATAAACCTTAGTTAGGATTATTAAAAATAAATCGCTCATAGTTGGGATTATTAAAGTATATTTTTTCTAAAATAAATAACATTTGGAATACAAAAATTAGCTATCGGTTACTAATAAATATAGCATTATGTGAAACAAAAGTTTCAAATAACATATTTATAATAAAACTTATTTTATCTATTTTTACTATGTAAGAAGATCTATAACTAATTTTCGTTTTATTATCCTTTTTTCTCATCGCGTAATAAGTAGATTAGTAACTATATTCAACAAACCATTGATCAAAATTTGTTTGCAATACTAATAGGAAAATTGGCTTAAAATAATCCCAACTATTAATGGTGCATGCTAAATAATACGAACTCAACTATTTGCTATTAGCGGTACCACCTTTTGTACTACATGTGCAAAATAGTACGCCGGTCACCGAAAAAGTATCTCAAGGAATATTTCGTCTATATTTTTTATATATTATTTTATCTTTTTATTAATTTTCTATTTTCTTTTCAAAATATATACTTCCTCTTATTATTTTTTTTATTTTTTTTAACTTGCAACAGTTTGACTTTTACACTATTCACATATCTCACTTTGACTAGCTTTGGTGATTTATAGGTTAAGAAAAATATATTCATGTGAGAGCTTGTTATACTCATCTCGATTTATACTTTCATCATATCAATTTTTTATAATTTTTACACATTGGTAATTAAAGATATTAACAATTGAAATAGTGCATTGGCAAGCGTGAAAAGAGAAGTGTTGCAAGTATTAAGAAACAGAGGAAGTATTATATTAATAATTTCCTTTACAATCCAAATTAATAACCACCCCTTTGTAGATTTTTTTTTTGAATTATCAATATGTATTTAAATATTTTTTTTTTAAAATAACTATAATAATTTCTATTATCACACAAGAGTAAGTAGGGTATTTAAATGCATTATCATGTTGATATAATTAGTAATTTTTTATTTTTTTTACAAAAATTTGAAACTAATTATATCAACATAATAATGCATTTAAATACCCTTTTTACTATTGTGTGGTAGCATAAATTACTTCAGGTATTTTGAAAAATAAATAAATAAATAAAATACCATATTAACAATTCAAAAAAAAAATCCTAACAAAGGGTTAGG